CAGCCGCCCCCAGCCCACCTGCAGCCGGCTGGGATACTCACAAATATATCAAAGAAAGAGGTCTTGAAATGGTACTCGATGATTTCATCCTTCAGGTTCTTCTGAATGCCATCCTTGGTCTGGAGGGGAGACAGGGAACCAGAATGACACTGAGTTAACAGCAGAAGAACCTGAGTGGGACTGGAGTTTTCCACCAGGTCAGGTCCTGCGTCAGGCAACCAACCCCCTGCCACGCACACCCTGAGGGCTGGGGGCCAGGGGGGGACACAAGGGCCAGTCTCAGCACTGAGGGGCACGAGGGGGGTGGCCACAAACACAAAACATTTCTCCACGGGGCTCCTGGACAGTGAGGAGCTGCTCGGTGCAGCCCAAACCCTTCACCAGACACCTCCCACTGCTGCCCACCCCCTCCACGCAGGGCTGTGGGTGGCAGGTTCCAGCTGCAGGGGAGGAGAGGCAGAAAAAGAGAGAGAAAAATCATAGGAAATGGTTTCTCCAGCACCTTCAGTAATGTGCTGAACAAAGCGTCTCCCACAGCTGGACAACCAAAACCTCCCCCCTGTGAGTCTCCCGGGGGTCACTCAGCAGCCTGGTGGAATTGAAGCTGGGATTGCTGTCGTTGTGAAAGCACCAAGGGGTCCCCTCTCCCTTCTTCCAGGCCAGCTGCCTTCCCACAGCTCACAGAGGTGCTGAGCTGCCCTCCAGGAAATCTGAGGAACTCATCTGGTAGGTTCAAACACACCAGCAAAGAAGAGGGAGGAGAGGAGGATGAGGGACAGACACGGGGAGGCTGCAAGGAAACCTGGAAGAGGCAAAACCACTTCCTGGGATATAGGATGAGAGGGGGGGAAAGGCTCCAAGAACAGCTCTCTCGCCTCACCCCAGGACAATCTGGGGCCCTGACAGCCCTGGTGCTTTTGCCACCATAAATCCTGCTCTTGGGGGCCTGGAATTGCTGTTTGTGAGGAAGCAGAGGGCTCAGGTAACTGGAACAAATGCTTCACCTTTAGGCTATTGGTTTGAACACAGCCCAGCTGGCCTGGAAGCTGGTACAGGCTGACAGCTGTTTGATGAGCTGTGAGAAACAAGTTGGTGGATCTCAGGCCAGTTCTTGGCAGCCTGGTGCCCTGGCACCCTCTCGTCAAGGACAGAAGAGGCAGCCACTGGGAAACGGTCCCTCTAGGTCAGGGCTGGTGCTGAACACTCAGGAATACTCAGGGAGAGGGGGGCAAAGCAGCTCTGCGTGGCTGTTCCCTCTCCTCTGTGGCTGCAGGACTCGTGCCAGCTCCTCCTCCTCCTCCCCACACCAGGGCCAGGAGAGGCTGCAGGAGGAGCAGGGAAGGCTCCAGGTTATGATTTCTGGGAGATGTTTTCAGGTTAAACACAGGCCACGGCCGTGCACAAGGAGGAAGAGTCTGAGGCCTCTGGGAGAGCAGCAAGCTCAGGCAGTGACAGTTTGCAGGCAACAGACATTTTAACGAGGGCCAATTTGCTCAGCTTATCTTGCAGCTGAAGGAAACCGTTTGATAAAAAAAGCATTAGTCATGATATCAAATCGTTGCTCTTCATAAGCTGTCCTAATAGCTTTAAATATGCAGCAGCTCGGGCTCGGGGCCCAAATATCAGCAGTTAGTCCCTGGTTAATGGCTACCTGCAGGACCTGGGCTGGCAGTCGCCCTGGCGACCAGGCTGGAGAGTCTCCCCCTGGGGCTGGATGTTCTCATCTGCAGCCAGCACCTCTCAGCCCAGAGGACAGGGACAAGAGCAGGTCCCAGGCCCTGCTGGGACCATCGGCACGGCTGGAATTCTGGCCCGGAGATGGTTTTTCCTAAGCAGGGAGAGGGGGGGGATGGGAGGGGTCTCCCGGGTGGGCAGGGGGAGGGAGCTGCTGGCTGAGATGATCTGTTAAGTGCAGACACTCAGGAGATAAACAGGGCAGAGATAAGAGCTGCTAAGTGAGAGCAGGATGCAGTGCTGATAAATAAAAGCCAGACACACAGGCAGGGCCGCAGGGGGTCCAGCAGTTCCTCTCCCAGTCTGCTCAGGGTGTTCCACAGGAGGACAGGCAGTACCCAGCTGGGACCAGTTCAGGAGAAATCAAAACAAAATACAGCCC